CGTGGTCTCTGGGGAGCCCAGCTTTTGAGAAAGCGAGCGCCTCTTCGATTTTTTGAGATCAGCCTTCGTGGTCTTTGAGCAGCCCAACTTTTGAGAAAGCAAACGCCTCTTCGATTTCTGAGATCAACCCTCGTGATCTCTAAGCAGCCCAGCTTTTGAGAAAGCAAACGCCTCTTCGATTTCTGAGCAGGCGCCTCTTCGATTTCTGAAGCTTCGTCGAGTGCAGATTTTTTATAGGGGCTGGCATTAAGTTCCAAAGCACACTTGAATCTCCACCAGTAGAAGCTTCATTCTTGCACTTCTAAGATCTTGATTTGTCCGACCTCTTCTCTCTTCTCACACCTTTGAAAATGTCTGGCCCCTCCGACCGTCGTTTTGACTTGAACCTTGTTGAAGAGGCAGCCCCGCCTTCTCCAGACAACATATGGCGCCCATCCTTCGTCTCCCCTACTGGTCCTCTTACCGTTGGGGATTCCGTGATGAAGAATGATATGACCGCTGCGGTGGTGGCCAGGAACCTTCTCACTCCCAAAGATAACAGACTACTTTCCAAACGGTCTGATGAGTTAGCTGTTAAGGATTCGCTGGCTCTCAGTGTTCAGTGTGCAGGTTCTGTGTCTAATATGGCCCAACGCCTATTTGCTCGAACCCGCCAAGTTGAATCATTGACGGCTGAAGTGATGAGTCTCAAACAGGAGATTAGAGGGCTCAAGCATGAGAATAAACAGTTGCACCGGCTCGCACATGACTATGCTACAAACATGAAGAGGAAGCTTGACCAGATGAAGGAAACTGATGGTCAGGTTTTACTTGATCATCAGAGATTTGTGGGTTTTGTTCCAAAGGCATTTATTGCCTTCGTCTTCTGGGGCTGTACCGCGTAATGAAGCTCCACATGATCAACCTCTGATGCCTCCTCCTTCTAGGGTTCTGTCCAGTACTACTGAGGCTCCAAATGATCCCCCTCCGGTGCCTTCTCTTTCTGGGGCTCTACCGACTGCTGAGACTTCTCCTAAGCAACCTTTGTGAAGGCTCCCTCTTGTGTGCTTATTTTGACTCATGTATATGTACATATTTGTAGCTTATCGGGGATATCAATAAATAAGCTTTCCTTCATTTCAACGTATTGTGTTAAATACACCAAAGCCTTCTTCGCTAAGTTCTTTGAATTTTCTTTTGTTAAAGCTTGTATGTTGAAGCTTTCTGAGTGGAGCATGTAGGTTGGGGGTAGTGTTCCCTTAATTTCCCGAGTGAGGAAAACTTCTCGGTTGGAGACTTGGAAAATCCAATCCCAGTCACTGAGTGGGATCGGCTATATGAATCTTAGAACGCCATTGTGCTCGATCCTGTGTCATGTCCTTCGTTAGATCTAAGTACTCTAAGTCTTTTCTTAGAGTCTCTTCCAAAAGTTTTTCCTAGGTCTTCCTCTCTACCCCTTCGGCCCTGAACCTCTATCCCATAGTCGCATCTTCTAATCGGAACGTCAGTAGGCCTTCTTTGCACATGTCCAAACCACCGTAACCGATTTTCTCTCATCTTTCCTTCAATTTCGGCTACTCCTACTTTACCCCGGATATCCTCATTCCTAATCTTATCCTTTCTCGTGTGCCCACACATCCAACGAAGCATCCTCATCTCCGCTACACACCCATTTTGTGTACGTGTTGATGTTTCACACCGCCCAACATTTTGTGCCATACAGCATCGCCGGGCCTTATTGCCGTCCTATAAAATTTTCCCTTGAGCTTCAGTGGCATACGGCGGTCACACAACACGCCGGATGCACTCTTCCACTTCATCCATCCAGCTTGTATTCTATGGTTGAGATCTCCATCTAATTCTCCGTTCTTTTGCAAGATAGATCCTAGGTAACGAAAACGGTCGCTCTTTGGTATTTTCTTGATCTCCGATCCTCACCCCTAACTCGTTTTGGCCTCCATTTGCACTGAACTTGCACTCCATATATTCTGTCTTTGATCGGCTTAGGCGAAGACCTTTAGATTCCAACACCTTCTCTCCAAAGGTTAAGCTTTGCATTTACCCCTTCCTGAGTTTCATCTATCAACACTATATCGTCTGCGAAAAGCATACACCAAGGAATATCATCTTGAATATGTCGTGTTAACTCATCCATTACCAACGCAAAAAGGTAAGGACTTAAGGATAAGCCTTGATGTAATCCTACAGTTATGGGAAAGCTTTCGGTTTGTCCTTCATGAGTTCTTACGGCAGTCTTTGCTCCTTCATACATATCCTTTATAGCTTGGATATATGCTACTCGTACTCCTTTCTTCTCTAAAATCCTCCAAAGAATGTCTCTTGGGACCCTATCATACGCTTTTTCCAAATCTATAAAGACCATGTGTAAATCCTTTTTCCCATCTCTATATCTTTCCATCAATCTTCGTAAGAGATAGATTGCCTCCATGGTTGAGCGCCCTGGCATGAACCCGAATTGGTTGTCCGAAACCCGTGTCTCTTGCCTCAATCTATGCTCAATGACTCTCTCCCAGAGCTTCATTGTATGACTCATTAGCTTAATACCCCTATAGTTCATGCAATTTTGTACGTCGCCCTTATTCTTGTAGATAGGCACCAAAGTGCTCATTCGCCACTCATTTGGCATCTTCTTCGTTTTCAAAAATCCTATTGAAAAGGTCAGTGAGCCATGTTATACCTGTCTCTCCCAAAAGTTTCCACACTTCGATTGGTATATCGTCTGGGCCTATTGCTTTTTTATGCTTCATCTTCTTCAAAGCTACAACCACTTCTTCCTTCCGGATTCGACGATAAAAAGAGTAGTTTCTACACTCTTCTGAGTTACTCAACTCCCCTAAAGAAGCACTCATTTCATGTCCTTCATTGAAAAGATTATGAAAATAACCTCTCCATCTGTCTTTAACCGCGTTCTCTGTAGCAAGAACCTTTCCATCCTCATCCTTGATGCACCTCACTTGGTTTAGGTCCCTTGTCTTCTTTTCCCTTGCTCTAGATAGTTTATAGATATCCAACTCTCCTTCTTTGGTATCTAGTCGTTTATACATATCGTCGTAAGCCGCTAACTTAGCTTCTCTGACAGCTTTCTTCGCCTCTTGCTTCGCTTTTCTATACCTTTCACCATTTTCATCAATCCTCTCCTTGTATAAGGCTTTACAGCATTCCTTCTTAGCCTTCACCTTTGTTTGTACCTCCTCATTCCACCACCAAGATTCCTTTTGGTGTGGGGCAAAGCCCTTGGACTCTCCTAATACCTCTTTTGCTACTTTTCGGATACAACTAGCCATGGAATCCCACATTTGGCTAGCTTCCCCCTCTCTATCCCACACACATTGGGTGATTACCTTCTCTTTGAAAATGACTTGTTTTTCTTCTTTTAGATTCCACCATCTAGTCCTTGGGCACTTCCAAGTCTTGTTCTTTTGTCTTACTCTTTTGATATGTACATCCATCACCAACAAGCGATGTTGATTAGCCACGCTCTCTCTCCTGGTATAACTTTGCAATCCTTACAAGTATAAGTTTACGATCCCCTTTCCTCATTAGAAGAAAATCTATTTGTGTTTTTGACGACCCACTCTTGTAGGTGATCACATGTTCTTCTCTCTTCTTAAAGAAGGTGTTGGCTAAGAAGAGATCATATGCCATTGCAAAATCCAAGATAGCTTCCCCATCCTCGTTTCTCTCCCCAAAACCATGGCCACCATGAAAACCTCCATAGTTGCCTGTCTCCCTGCCCACGTGTCCATTTAAATCTCCTCCTATAAATAACTTCTCCGTCTGAGCAATTCCTTGCACCAAGTCTCCAAGATCTTCCCAAAATTTCTCCTTCGAACTCGTATCCAACCCTACTTGAGGTGCGTACGCACTAATCACATTGATAAGTTCTTGTCCTATTACAATCTTGATTGCCATGATTCTATCTCCTACCCTCTTGACATCTACAACATCTTGTACCAAGGTCTTGTCCACGATGATGCCAACACCGTTTCTCGTTCTATTTGTGCCCGAATACCAAAGTTTAAACCCTGAGTTTTCTAGATCCTTTGCCTTACTACCAACCCACTTAGTTTTCTTGTAGGCACATAATATTTATCCTTCTCCTTACCATAACTTCCACTACTTCCATAGATTTTCCCGTTAAGGTTCCTATATTCCACGTTCCTAAACGCATTTTGCTCTCTTGAACTCTACCCTTCTGTCCTAGCTTCTTCACCCTCCCCCGTCTAATAGGATCAAAGTACTTCTTTTGTGTGTCCCGGGTAAAGTTGATAGGAGCATATGCTCCCAAACAACTTTGAGTGGAGTCGTTCGAAAAGAAGTTTCTATGGCCCCCTTGCTCATTTAACACTGCATCCGGGTGCCGATGGAGATACAGCGACCCTTGCTCACTTATCACTGTGCTCAGGCCACACAGCGCGCCACTTACGGGTGACGCCCTAGCTTTAGCGCGATTTTGTTCTGGATTCATTTTCATAAGGATTCGACGTGATCATGGAGTGCCGGCTGTCGACTACCTGACGCCCTCCCCCTCCTCCTTTATCCGGGCTTGGGACCGGCCATGTAAGACATAGGCGGAGTTGATGTGGAAATAGAAGACAAAGAAGTTTAATGGAGTTGATATGGTTGGTATACAATCCGATTTTAAAGAGGTATTCTTTATATTTAAGATAGTCTCAGGTATCAGGTATGTTTCTCATTGACTACTAATCATGATGTTAACCTCTTATGTGAGCTTATCAGTCTTAAGTAAAGATATGGTAATTTGGAATCTGTTTTGGTTTCCGGATTCTCAGTTTAGCATATCTCAAGTTTCTTTTTCTTGTCATGTATTTGCCATCATTTGAATTGCAGCTGGTTATAATCGTAAGGGTTAAATTTGCCACTGAAAATTTTTAGGTTTCTGGAGTGGACTGATTTTATTTATTTATTGAAGACTAGAGAAAAGACTGAAATTTTATAAAACAGTAGAGTTTCTACTGACAGAAATCTGCCATGGTCAGGTGTGGAGGTTTAATATGCAAAGCATGCCAGTGTTGGAAACCATGGTTAATTCTTCTCCGGTAAAGAGACTTTTTGTGTGAACTTTAAATCATATAGAATTGAATCCGTAACGGTTAGTTTGATGTAACTATGCTCCATTAACCTCATTTGCGTACTAGTTTGCTATGTTACTCAAAGAATTGATTATTGCAAAATGCCGAAAAAGCTCTGGATGTTTCTCTTTCAGGAGTGTGATTGCTGCTGTTGAAATTGAAAGCGCGAACTGCTGCTGACTGAGATTAAGGTGCGATTGCATTGCATGTAATTGTGGGGCTGTGTATTACATTTTTCAAGATTTATTAGGTTTGAATCAAGTTTATTCCTCTCAAAAGAGAAGTATACAAGGTTGGTAGACAAATGCATAAAAGGCACGTACAAAAGCCTAAATCTATCTGAGCCTAAACATATGAAACAGATTTGTCAAGGTACTGGTTGAGGGAGGTGGCTATCGAACACATGTTCAACGCTTCCTCCTTCAATATTGGTTCAGGATTATTATCTGTATTAGCCTTCATGCACGCACACTATCGAACACATGTTCAACGCTTCCTCCTTCAATATTGGTACAAGATTATTATCTCTACTAGCTTTCATGCACGCGCTCACGCACATGCAGAAGGTATTTTTTGAATCACGACGTGCTACGCCCGATTTACACGTTTTAAATGTATTTATATGCGTAAATTGACAAAAGGAAAGTCAAATATTTAAAGTAAATGAATAATATTAGATCATGCTAGAAGAAACTCCTCATAAACCAATTAAAATAGTTGAATCCACATAATAAAATCGGTCTCTATTGAATTTATATCAAGAATAGAGAAAATAATATTTAATAAACAAGTGATTGAATCACATTATTGCTAGCCCATTGTGAGACTAAGCCCACCCCCACCCCCACCCCTTTAGTGTAGATAATATCGTTTGTTAAAAAAAATATTTAACAATTAATTTAATCATATTATTATCTGAGTGCGAAAGATTTTTTTTGGTGAAGCTTGTGACATCAAAAAAAACTATTCATTGGGTGACAAAAATACCCCTGCATTATTTTGGGATGCCTTTGAAGTTTTTTTGTCTTGGGGGCATTTTTATCCAAATCTTTTTGTTGAAGCTTTGTGATACCAAAAACACTATTCATCTTTTGTGTCGACTTCATATATAGAATATTACTTTTTCCTAAGCATCCGCGGCCATGAATTAATTAACTGTTATTACCTTTGGAAAGCAAATTTAGGGATTTTTTTTTTGTTTTTGACTTTTGATCGGGATTTTGTAGTTGAACAAGGGACATATTCTTCACTTCATGTTACGTCTGGTTGATAGATGCTCAGTTTGAACTCCTGTCTAGTTTAACTCATTTGAAAGGATTAACAAACTAATATGTCTGGGACATTCAGTACTACGGTCTGGTGGTATTCATCTTCACTTAGAAGTGAGACGTCTTAAATTCGAATCTCGTGGATGGCGAATTCGATACCAAATTAGGCTGCTCATTATGTGGCTTAGCCGAACTTCCCTTCCTCTTAGTGTAAAAAATATCGATGCACTAAAAAAAATTATATGTATTTTTTCGTAATATTTATCCTTTCTCTTGCTTATGAACTAATAATCTTCGATTAAATTACTCGAGCTCAATAAATATAGCTAAAGCAATCAAGTTTGTTTACTAAATACTGAATAAGGTGTCAATACGTACTTAAATGTTACTAGATAATCGTCCACATATATTTGAGTGTAACCCGTTAATAGGAGATTGTGGGACCCATAATTATTAACGGATGACAGTTACCCATCATCAAGTAGTAGTAGGTGGGTCGGATTATGATGCATGCAATGATTCTGATCATTCCGATGGGGCTGACTGCCAGACAAATCGACAATGATTATCATTCCTTGATAGAATTGCCTTGCTTTGCCCAACTCCTGACCTCCAATCTTTATTCATTAATCATTCTTCCCTCCTTTTCTTTTTCTTCTTCTTTATGTATAACTATAAACCATGCAGAAAAGTCCATGAATATGGAGTCGGTTTCAGAATTATCTAAACCGACCAAAAAATATTTATATTATTTTATGTAATAGCAACATTCCAAATTCTATCAAATTCAATCTTAACAAGTGACCAAATTGTACCAAGCATTCCTACCGGACCCAATGGATATGATTTGTCTCCTTGATTTCAAATTATTGCATAAACATATCTCATTAAGCCAGTTACAAAACAAAAAAAAAACCACGAATTTCAAATTCTGGTTTGTCAGGAAATAGAATGAGTGCATGCATCTAAGCACCCAAATGTTTTGTCCTACCGACGAATAATGTCCGTCCGAAAGTCGAGTTGGAGGGTAGCAAATAACCTCTTCAATATATGAACACGAAGGAAGATAGGTGAGTGAAGTTTTCCTTTTATTTTCGTTATTTTTCTTCCTATTTCATCTCTTGGGTACCTGTTATTCCAACAAGCAGTTATCTATCATTACTGTATCCAATAGACTAACAGGTTTTTTCGGGAAACATCCAATAAAATTAGAAGAAGAAAAATGAAGAAGTCAAAATGTAAATAGTAATTAAAAAAAAGGAGAGAAATTAAGGAATTGAATTGGTGGATGAGAAGTTAATGAGATGTAATGATGGAGGTTGAGTGACTATACATCATGAGGCATGCAGGCGTTGTGAAAGTTGATTTTGAGCTTTGTTGGGTTTGACTTCCTCTTTCCCACCCAACTCTCAACGAAACTCCATCTTCAAGTCTCAACCCCACAACACATCATCGTCATCGTATTTCAATTCAATTGGGTTTTCAGTGGCCACCCCAGCCTTTGATTACTCTCTCTCTCTCTCTCTCTCTCTCTCTCTCCCCCTCTCCCTCCTCATTAATTTTAAGCCTTTCAATACCAAAGTTATTACTTAATAGACGTGTAATATTGTAAAAATTACTTTTAGGACGAAATCCATTCACCCTAGCTTTTTATCTGATCTTCATCTAGTTAGGGCAATGTGTCCATTGTTTTATGGTTGAATTATTGTTCACTAAATTAAAGTAATTTAGAGTAGAGTAAATTATTATTTTACCTATGAACTAACACTTCAAATCGAATGGACCCCTAAACTTTTTTTTTTTTTTTTGATAAATTAAAGGCTTAAACTTTTTAAAAACAATAAATTGACGCATGCCATTATAGTTCATCCAATTTGCATTTAACATGTCATCATGTCAACAACATGCACCAATAAAAATACATCATGTGAAAATTAATGAAAGAAATTAAACTACATATATATTTAAAAAGAAGAATAAAAACAAAGAGAGACCGTTAATACCACAGTTGGAAAAAAATAACAAAGATGAAGGCGTGCAGGGATCCGAACCCATGCAGAAATGAAAAAAAAAAAAAAAAAAAAAAAACGCTTGATAACTCTGCTAAGCACGACTTTGCTTAATACTCCCGCGTTTTATTAATGAACTACTTTCATAAAAAGCTATTAAAAGTCTGGGCATGTGCGGTCGCACGCTCTCAGAGTCGGCCCTGTTGTCTTTCTACCAACCGAGTTGTGGACTTGATAGGATGATTAATTATGCATGATAGTGACATGGATGCATCATCGTTAATTTTCCTATGAATTTTGCTATCGATGAGATGCAAACTCTATATGCATTTAATGGCAATAAATTGTTCAAAATGTATCAACACGATTGACAATATAAATGATTTACATACATATATTTGCAGGAGTGCAACAAAAGGCAGCAATTAAAGGTTTGTTTGGTATTTTTATGGATCTAATTATTTTGTTTTTGAAAACTGATGAATTGGCTAAATTATTTAATATATTAATACTCATTAAAAATGAGATCCAAATAAGATAACAAACTAACCGGTAATTAGTGGTGACGAGAAGGATTAATGTGAATGGACATCGTCGACTGGGAGACCGCCGACTTACCAACCAACCAACCAAACCAACTAATTAACTAACACACTTTTATCCTCTGGAGGGGACACACTATACACTAGACACGAGTCACACGACACAAACCAAGACGTGCAAGTATATTGTTGGCTCCTGCCTCTGCCTCTTGCTGGCTTCATCATGACAATCTCAAAATTAAGTTTGAACCATTTCATTTGGTTAGTTAATTGGAAAATTAATAGATGAAGATAGAGACCACAATTTAACCCGTCAAATCCGATCTCTGCAGGTAATAGATCCGAACGACTTGTTTTCGAGAATTAAACTTTGGGTATTTTAAGGTTATGGGTAACACTTTTCGGATTCGGTTATGGTTATTGGGGTGTCCATCAGGAACCCATACCCAAAACTAAACCGTTTTCATTTTCTAATAAAAAAACACAAATATTAGTATATGGAGAAACGATTTATCAATAATCATGCATAATTAAATATGAAAGCTTGTGCTAGTAATTATATGGATTATATCATTAATAGTATAAATTATGGAAACTGTTATTAGCACTTCAAAAATCTCAATCTACACTCCTTACATGTGTATTTTTCATTCTAATAATATAAAATTTGGAGTGGGAGATTTTTGGAATGCCGATAACAATTCCCTAAATTATATGGTTATTGATTATCAATAGTATAAATATTTTCTTGTTGATATAAATATTTAATATTATTTGTTATATGCATTATCAGTTGTATTAATAATAGTACTCTCTTTAATCTCGTTTTTATTTAAAATTCACTATCCAATTAATAATATAACTAATATATAAAAATATAAAAATACCAAAATGGGGAAACCCGTTATCGATAGAAAATCCGTTATCCGATGAGTTCGGTTACTGAAAAAACTCATTTGGAGATTCTACGATTTTGGATTAAAAAAAAAACATATTTAGATATGGAGATGGCACATCCAAACTTGATTCGCTGATTGCCATCCCTTAAGTTTACCTCAATCCTCATTCCTCACTTAGTCGCTTAGCGGGTGACTTGGTGCCTTGTAGCATTTTCAAAGGGCTAGGAAATTTGTTGATGCAAATATGTACTTTTGATGGATCATATAGTATTTTGCCAATCTATTTGCTTAGTTAAAATATGTATCATTTCAATGAGAGTAATGCTAGAGAAACCACAATTTATAGAGTATAATTAAATGCGTAATGCTAGGGAGATCAACAATTAAAACCAAATTTTGTAAACTATGTGATGTAGTTCTTGATGATTGGATTTATTACTTAAGTACCGATAAATGTGCTTATTTTCTATTGGTGACAAGTCACATGATTTACAAATTTTATCTAAAAAATTGGTCTATCTAGCATTACTCTAACTAAATTATCTATTTAAGAAAGGTAGGGTTCACAATTAATACATGTAAGTCACATTTTTATTAGAGAGATATTTTAGATGTGGTCTCTCCATAACACACCACTAGAAATTATCATTTGGCCGATGAACTAAATTTCATCAGATTATAACTTTACTTGAGGAAAAAAAAAATGGGAGTTTTAATAAAACACTCCCGGTACTGTTCATTTTTAACGAAAAACCACATTTTTACCTTTACCTATC